CTGCGGCAAAGAGCTTTATACATTGTGCCAAATGATTCAGAGAAAAAAAACGCGATGAATGTGCAAGAGTCCCCAGAGTGCAGCAAACAGAGCACAGGAATAAAACTAGGTTAAGACAAATAAAAACATAAAAAAGCTGTTAGCATGTACAGCTGTCCTGCAGCCAATGATACCTTCTGACAGAGGGAAGAAGCTGGAACAAGGCTTTTTTCCAGGTTGACCAATCAGATAGCTTCATTTGTGGTGGAAACTCCAGCTTGTCTTAGAGATTGTTTCTAACCGGTTTGAACAAATGCATATATAAGGAAATTGGCTCTCTGGTTTCTCTCTGGTCTCTCTCTGGTTTCTCTCTCTGGTCTCTCTCTGGTCTCTCTCTTGTCTCTCTCTGGTCTCTCTCTGGTCTCTCTCTCTCTGGTTTCTCCCTGGTCTCTCTCTGGTCTCTCTCTCTGGTCTCTCTCTCTGGTGTCTCTCTGTTCTCTCTCTCTCTCTGCACTCTCCCACTGGTCTCTCTCTGTGCTCTCTCTGGTTTCTCTCTGCACTCTCTCACTGGTCTCTCCCTCTGGTCATTCTGGTCTCTCTCTATGGTCTTTCTCTCTGGTCACTCTCTGCTCTCTCTATTTGGTCTTTCCATCTGTTTTCTCTCTCCCCATTCTCTCTCTGGTCTCTCTCTGTTCTCTCTCTGGTCTCTCTCTCTGGTCTCTCTCTCTGGTGTCTCTCTGTTCTCTCTCTCTCTCTGCACTCTCCCACTGGTCTCTCTCTGTGCTCTCTCTGGTTTCTCTCTGCACTCTCTCACTGGTCTCTCCCTCTGGTCTTTCTGGTCTCTCTCTATGGTCTTTCTCTCTGGTCACTCTCTGCTCTCTCTATTTGGTCTTTCCATCTGTTTTCTCTCTCCCCATTCTCTCTGGTCTCTCTCTGTTCTCTCTCTCTTGTCTCTCTCTGGTCTCTCTCGCTGTTCTCTCTCTCTTGTCTCTCTCTTTGTTCTCTCGCTCTTGTCTCTCTCTGGTCTCTCTTTGCTCATGTCACATAACCAGGACATCAAGAGGAAAATGTCTGATGTCTGCAGACTGCAGTAAAAACCAGATTAGTTCCAAACCCGGTCATCACACCAGAAGTCTCTTAAAACATCCATAGTAAGACTCTTCATAGTCTCTGCATATATGGTCAAACCTGTAGTGACCAGAAAGCAGAAGTTTCCAGACCATAATGTTTGTAACCGTCGCCTCATTCACCTGTTTCCTCAATCTCTAACTGTCAATACGGCCACGCCAGGGTCTGCAACCTCTTTCAATCAGAGAGCTACTTCTATGCAACAAACGAGGCAGAGAGCTACTCCATTTTGTAGTCGCAATAGAAAAAATGGCTGTAATAATTATGACAAAACATAGAAAACACATGAATATATCGTAAAAATAATTAAAATATATGTGTCCTGACTCAAGATCTTTGGGGAGCTACCTGAAAGGGGCTGGCGAGCTACTGGTGACTCCCGAGCTGTAGGTTGGAGACCCCTGATGTACGTCGTCCGTTCATTCACGCTCAAAAGGCGTAACCATGACGATGGAGCCATGTTTTATATCATATATTTGTCTGGCGCACACTGGAGTACTCTTGTGTGTGTATTCCTGTGTGGTTTTACTGCATCTGAATACTTATTTCAACTATTTATTTGATTTTCACATCACCATAAAGAGCAAATACATAGTAAGTAACTTCATAGTAAGTTATACACATTATATTTGTAACCTTGGTTTGTGTTTTGCAAAAGGGAAGTCTGCATATTATATTATTATAGATTAAAGGTTTTCTTTGGTCCGTTTTGTGGAGAAGGCCTGGACACAGAGACACTGTATCCAGAGCAGATATTAGTGCTGTTTTTGTCCTTGTATGTGTTATTGTCAACTCAAATTCATTCATTCATTTCTCAAACTGAAGTCACATGACCACAAACATCAAAAACATTACATTCTTTGTGACACTTGAAAATTGGACTCTCTGAGAATCACTGTAACTCTTACAAACAGGGTCCAACATTGCATGAAAAATACTAGAATATAATAATACTTTTTGTTTTACTTCCTATAATGTCATGATTTACGAACTAGTTTGTTTGAGATTGTTTAGAAGAAAAAGCTGATTTGTTTTGGCGTTGAAGATAAAAATTAAATGTTTTCTTTGGTCTGTTTGTGAAGAAGGCCTGGACACTGAGACACTGTATCCAGAGCAGATATTAGAGCTGTTTTTGCCCTTCTTATGTGTCATTTAGTGTCATATAAGCTCACGTAAACTGGGCAAGACACGCAAAAAAAGGCATTACTTCATTCACTCTAGATGTTTTTAATTCCCACACGGCAGTAAAACATAAATAGTAAGCGCTGTGTGTGACGTGCCTCTCCCCGCACGTCCTCAGACCAGTTGTCTGTGAGTTAAGTCCGTCCCTCTCTCTGCTGTCGCTGATAAAGCTGAATGGGGGAAAAGCTGAATGGAGCCAGACGGGAAAGTATGTGTGGCGTTCAGGGCCAGTGGGAGGATCCAGTTTCTCTTTGTCCCCAGAGCCTCGCGACCTTCTTTGTCTGCGCCCAGAAAAAGGATCCCATTTCCCCCCTACGTCTTTGAAGTCTGCCTCCTCACACACACACATACACACACAGAGACACACACACACACGGGCCCCCCACGAACTCGCCTAAACTTGGCCCCTCCATCTGCCGGAGGTAACCAGATCCAGGCCTCTTCATACGGAGCCATTAAAGCCAAAGGGAACCAAAACAAAGGGCGATGCTAGCATTAGCCCAACTGTCATAATACGGCCTGACACTTAGCTTCAGCCGGTGTTTTTGTTTCAATCAGAGCGTCTACATTCCTCCACAATTCACAGCAGATGTCAGAGTCTGTGTGAGGTTTGTGGGAGTCGTTAAAGCTGGGGTACGTGACTTTCAAAGCACCAAAAAATTTATCTATAAATGTAGTAGGTTGGCATTTTAAATCTGTCCCGAGACAACGGAGGGAAAATAGCCTCGAAGCTAATTCTGGAACATGTACAGTAATGTTCAATAATGTACACGGTCCCTGTTAGATGAATAAGCAAATGAATACACACATACTTACATACTTATATACACTAGGGATGTAAATCGGTGACCGTTTAACCGGTGGTTGACCGTCACAGCGTTAACCGGTCAAAGCTGTCGGTTAAAAAAGAGAAAAAGGGGAGAGGGGAGGTCTCTTAATAACGCTATTTTAAGCCCTATTTGCACGGTGTGACGAGCGGGTCTGTATCTAGCTGTGTGCGCCCATGTATTATAAACTCCGGGACGACTCTCACGCCGCACGAGCCACATATGCACACACGCACGCGCGCGCGCGCGCACACACACACACACACACACACACACTTTCCCCCTCTCCATACGTAACATCCACACGCATCATCTCTCCCCTCTGTTACCGTCAAAGTTGCACACTGGCGCGGGTCAGAACTACATTGGAGCTTACATTTACACACACACACACATATACATACTCACACACATACATACATACACACACACACACACATACATACATACATACACACATACATACATACACACCCACACACATACATACATTACAGTACATACATACACACATACATACATACATACATACATACTTACACACACACACACACACACACACACACACACACACACACACACACACACACACACACACACACAAATAGTTTAATCTATCTCTTTGGTTTAAATATATAGTTTGACATCATGTATTTTGGTATCACTCGGCCAATCAGCTCACAGCGTAAAGTGACCACCCACACTCAGCCAATCAGCTCTCAGCTCTCAGCCCAAAGTGTCCAAGAGTGACTCCCAGGGCTCTGTGTTATAAGAATACAACAGATGTTTTCTAATCAGCTGCAGACAGGTGTGGTCTGGTTTGTTTAAGCTTTTACAAGACTCAAGACATTTATTAGACATTTCTGTAACATTTTTGTATGAAGCCAGAAAAGTTACGACCCCGAGCTTTAATGTGTCTTTGTGGTCACTGCCTCATGAACAAAACAAAAGACAAAATTCCCAAGAATCATAAATGAATGTTGACAGAAGGAAATCCAGTTTGTTTTGTGTTTTCTCTGCACAGTAAGAGGAAGTAATTAATAAATGTTGACAAAGAGGCAGCTGCAAACCTAATGCTAAGGTGTGGCCAGGACACAGAAGTTGCGGGTTCCATTCCCAGAACAGTGGCCTTGCTCAACACATGGACTTTGCATGTTCTCTTAGTGTTTTCCTGCGGTTTTCCCGTGTGCAAAGAAAATGCAAAAAGGGAAATACGCAAATGTTTAATATGAAAAGCAAAGAGTGTCGCCTCCTGCAGGTGAGAGCCGTCAGACCTCTGAAGCTGTGCAGGGCAGGGCCTGGTTAGTGCTGTGATGGGAGACCTCTGGGAACAGCAGGTGCCACAGTGGGACGGCTGTGGCTGTAAAGTGCTAAACTGTGGTTGTGTCCTTAGGCAAGACACTTCCCCCACATTAGAATGAGTTTGGTGTGTGTGTGAATGGTTGGTGGTGGTGGGAGGGGCACAGACTGGTTGCCTCTCTTCGGTCAGTGTGCCCCAGGGCAGCTGTGGCTACAGTAGTAGTTTATTTCCACTGTGTTTGGAGAGAAAGAACAATGATGTGCAGCGTCTTTGAGCGTCTAAAGAACCAATTAATAAAAACATTATTATTGAGGAGTGTAATTACCATGTCAACACGACCCCTGCCTCACAGAGCTCCTCACTCCACACACCTCCTCACGCCTCCTCCGCCCATGGTCTAACCCATGGTCTCCACCCTTGGTCTACAGTAGTTGGTAGAGCATGAAAGAAAAATGACATGTGAAGCGTCTTTGAGTATCCAAAAAAGCGCTATATAAAACCGATGCATTATTATTATTATTATTATTATCATGGTCTCCACCCATGGTCTCTCCACTCTTGGTCTCCACCTTTGGCCTCCACCCATGGTCTCCACCCACAGTCTCCACCCACAGTCTCCAACCATGGTCTCCACCCATGGTGTCCACCCATGGTGTCCACCCATGGTCTCCACCCATGGTCTCCACCAGCCCAGGTCCCAGCTGTCCACCCTGGGAGACACACCTTCAGGTCACTGGTCCAGGGCAGGTGGAGATCTTTTTGAAAACCTAAAAACATTTATTAGAGCAAGCTTGATTCAGATTCAGTTTTGTTTGCCAGTTGCAGTAAAACCATATTAAAATAACTGTGCAAGACGACCCCAGTTGTCACTTTAATGAGCTTTTAACTAATTTATGCTTTTTGATACTTTTTTTCTAGCATCCTATTTTTTTGTTTTATTATTCAATTACAATCTCCAGAGCTATGAAGTCTCTTTGAAATTGCTTCTTTATTCTGTTAAAGTCAGAGATTGTATTTTAGTTTAGTAAGTTATATATATACTGTATATATAATTATATATTAAGTTATTGTTAATTTATCTTGTGCTGGGACTGGCAACACTGGCATTTCCTCACTGTGATGATGTAAAACACATTAAAACCAAAGACACAGAACTCATGAACTCGTCCGTTTCCCAAATTTAATTTTCCACAATTAAATCAAGCCATAAAACAAGTGACGCCATATGTTTTTGGGACTGGTGCATTCTGGGAAATCACATTTGGCGAGTACAAATTGAGTTATTGTGGACTCTGGCAGGACTCCAGCAGCTTTGTCTCCATCTGCGACACATCCAACTTTTTGTTTCTCGTTAGAACCCGAGGGTAGAGTCCCGAGCCCGAGATTTGGACGGAATCCTCTTTTTCTCTGCGTAAAAGAATCATCAATGTCTCTTTATACAGACGCTGCTTTCAACGGATATGGTTTTACAACGGATTTTAAGTATATGGTTGTATTTGTTATATTTTAGTGCCGACAGTTTTTTAAAGTAGCAATATGTAAGATTTTCATGTCAAGTCATCATTAAAGGTCCCTATTCTGTCATCATAAAAAGGGCCTAATCTGTCATCATTAAAGGGCCCTAATCTGTCATCATAAAAAGGGCCTAATCTGTCATCATTAAAGGGCCCTAATCTGTCATCATAAAAAGGGCCTAATCTGTCATCATTAAAGGGCCCTAATCTGTCATAATAATAAACTGCTCTGATATTTGGATTTATAAATTACTTTTCCAGCCTCTAAATCTTGTTATTGTTTTCATTTCAATGTCCCGCCCTCCACCGTTTCACCAATCAGAAAGTCTGTGATCCGGGCGCCAGAACTCACCGCGTGGAGCTAATCTCACTGGTAAAGTACCATGTGGCGCAGAACTAAAAAAGGTCTCGTTATGATTCTCAAATCATTCATGACAAAACAAGGAATAAAACCAGGATTTCTATCTTTGTGAAAAAGGTGTTGGTTATAGATTTGTTGTTGACAAAACTCTTGTCTATTCAACTGTTATGGTCCCAGCTGGATTCGTCTGCATATCTGGCAACCTGAGTCAGGGAGAGTGGGAGAGGCTGCAGTACCACTTTTGGACACATTTTTACATATTGCTCACGTGAAAAAGAAAAACTTACAAAGACACAGGACGATCTACAATAAATCATAAATAGATCCACACCATGACGTCTCCACCCATTTCCTCAAGTCTCCAGGTCAGGACTGGACTTAGCATTACCCTCAGAACTTAAAAGAGGTCGCCTTTTTGCACAGTCGCCGTGGTTACTGTAGGACTGATGTCTCTCCTCTCTCCTGCACATCTCTCGTGATTGGATGTGATAAAAACATATTATCGTGATGGTGTTTGGACCCTCCACGCTTCATTTCTGTCAAACTCAATCAGATACATGTGAAAAGACCAGATTATGGCCACAACAGATGTAGCAAAGTACACTGCTAAAAATGATCAGATATGAGGTGATAAATGATAGAATCGTGTGGTGGACAGTCAGAATGTGCTCAAATTAAGGGTAAATGGAGGATTTTCTACTTCCGGGTGGATCATCAAGACTATTGGTTCTCCCAACTGTCAATCATTCTAGTGGTATGTAGAACCACTAGAAGAGCAGAGAGGTTTTTTTTTTCAGAAAGTTTAGGGAGCAGTTTTGTCCTAAAATATGGGAAAATCCTTCTATATACTGTACCTTTAAGATAGATTTAGCAAAATTTGAGTTTTTTATAAAGTTATTTATAATAAAGTAAATTATCTTTATTTATAAAGATTTTCAGTTATAAACACAGAACACATATATAGATTATTGTTACAGATTAAACATTTATTTAGCAATTCTTGTGTCAGTTTTTTGCAGTGTTGTTGCACCATGGATTAAGGTTAGCCTGAAAAGCGCCACCAAACCAGCGATGAGTGTCAGTTTTCTCCTTGACAACACGGACACCGAGCCATGTGACCTCAATCTGCATCTCCGCCTCGACGCGGGAGATAATCCAGGACCACAACAACATGTGGTATGTAAAGCATGTCTTTGATTGCATTGTCAGGGTCGCAACAAGGGGCCCCGGCTCTTCCAGCTCCGCCGACCAGACTGCAGGGGTCAGGGGGGCCTCTTCCCGCACACAGCCCTCGTGCCATTGAGCAAGGCGGGCTGCCAGGGGTAGCTCCGCCCCCTCCCGCTCCGGCAGCAGAAGCTCTTCCTGAAGCTGGGCTGATGTCAGGGCAGAGGAATGTGGAAAACATGACACACTGGGGGGCCTTGTTCTGCAGGCGCTGAATGGTCTGGGGGTCGCACACACACACACGCACGCACACACACGCACACACACGCACACACACACGCACACACACGCACACACAGACCTCACAAAGGGACTGAATCACACTGTGAGGTAATGTGGTATTCTGGAATGTGGTGGAGGTGAGAAGGTCAATGAACCGAAGTAGAGACATAAAGTTTGGACTCGTTCTGTTGTTGCTAACTGCAGCGACTGTTGAAATGGAGCTACGGCAAGTTTAATTGTATAGCACAGTTCATACGAAAGACAACTCAAAGTACGTAACAAAATATTAAAATCATAATTAATCACGGTGCAATAAAACGAGTGAAGATACAATCATTTGAACTGTTTTTAACCTGGATCTGGACATTGTCAAGTCTGTCTCACATTTTCAGGAAGATTTTAGCTGCATGAATCTGAAACGCTGCCTCTTCGTGTTTAGTCCCGACTCTGGGATCAACAGGAGGCCAGTCCCTGTGCTCCTCAGAGTCCCAGCAGGAGGCCAGTCCCTGTGCTCATCGGAGTCCACAGCAGGAGGCCAGTCCCTGTGCTCCTCAGAGTCCCAGCAGGAGGCCAGTCCCTGTGCTCCTCAGAGTCCCAGCAGGAGGACAGTCCCTGTGCTCCTCAGAGTCCCAGCAGGAGGACAGTCCCTGTGCTCCTCAGAGTCCCAGCAGGAGGACAGTCCCTGTGCTCCTCAGAGTCCCAGCAGGAGGACAGTCCCTGTGCTCCTCAGAGTCCCAGCAGGAAGTCCCTGTGCAGGCAGGAGGCAGTCCCTGTGCTCCTCAGAGTCCCAGCAGGAGGATCCCAGGAGGCATCCCTGTGCTCCTCAGAGTCCCAGCAGGAGGCCAGTCCCTGTGCTCCTCAGAGTCCCAGCAGGAGGCCAGTCCTGTGCTCCTCAGAGCCCAGCAGGAGGCCATCCCTATGCTCCTCAAGTCCCAGCAGGAGGCCAGTCCCTGTGCTCCTCAGGGTCCCAGCAGGAGGACAGTCCCTGTGCTCCCCAGAGTCCCAGCAGGAGGCCAGTCCCTGTGCTCCTCAGAGTCCCAGCAGGAGGCCAGTCCCTGTGCTCCTCAGAGTCCCAGCAGGAGGACAGCCCCTGTGCTCCTAAGAGTCCCAGCAGGAGGCAAGTCCCTGTGCTCCTCAGAGTCCCAGCAGGAGGCCAGTCCCTGTGCTCCTCAGAGGCCAGTCCCTGCAGTCCAAGTTTATTCAAAATAACACAAAGACCTGCTTTGAATATGTAAAGAGTTTATGCAATGATTTAAATGAGTCTAAAAATAGATCCACTCTCTCTGAGTTCACTTCACTTTGTCATTTGAGATTTTACACTTACTACTTTATTATTATTATTATTATTATTATTTATTATTTATTATGCTCCAGTTACAGATGTTATTTTATTTTATGACAGAGTTGTTGTTCATGTATCTTTTGCTGTGTGCTCCTCATTCTACTGTAACTGTACTGTGATGATGCAACACTGACATTTCCCCGCTGTGGGACCAACAAAGGATCTCTAGGGGCCTTCATCTCACCGCTGTCAGACTGTACAATGAGTCACTTTAAGTCACTAATGGCCTGCACCAGGACTGAAGAACCTGCTGCTTTTGCCACTTTTTATTGTTCATAATTATCTCCTGCACAGACTTCTTTGTTGCACACTTCTGTCGTTTGCACAAATCTGATTCTGTCTGTGCTAAATGTGACGTGTACATTTCTCAAGTTTATCTTATTTTAAAATAAAAGGATTATAAAGACTTAATATACATAAAAAGAATACATTTAGCACAAAAGAGATTGTGATGATGTGACCAGCGTTCACACGACACCCGTCCTTCTCATGATTATCTACAGCGCTGTGTGGGGGCAGAGACCTGGTCTGGTCTCACCCCCTCCTCACCCCCACCTCACCCCCTCCTCACCCTCATCTAACCCCATCTCACCCCTCATCTAACCCCATCTCACCCCATCCTCACCCCCACCTCACCCCCTCATCTACCCCCAACTCACACCCTCATCCCCACCCCCACCTCACCCCCTCCTCACCCCCAACTCACACCCACCTCACCCCTCCTCACCCCCAGCGAGGTGACATTCCTCAGCCTTGGATCCAGTTTCTGTGTTTGAGGCTCACGGCTGAACTGTGACAACTAAAACCCTGCTGTGTCTACTTTCAACTGGAAATGTTCTTTCTTTCTACGTCCGAATAAAGTCGTCTTTTCTGCGATAGAGATGCTCTGCTTCGTTACTTAAATTTGGGTGTTTCTTGGTCCGAGGCGTTCACTGTTGAGAGAGGTGTGTGGTCGGGGAGTGTTTGGGCCTGTGTCTGTCTGTGTTTGTGTGAGTCTGTGCAGTATCGGTGTCATTTGGATTCACTGTGTTTCTGTATTTTACGGTTTGTTTGAGACGGGGTTGTGAATATAAAAGTGTTTCCTTTATCCATCCTTAAAATAACTACTACTACTAAATATCTGTTTAAACGAGGTATGTCCAAACTAAGGCCTAAGGGCCAAATGCGGCCCTCTGTGTTATTTTGTACGGCCCTCGGCCTCGCTAACCCAAAAGTAGTCTTCATGAAGACAAGTTCACAGTGTCATCCAGCCAACTTCAGCTCTGCCAACATATACATATTGTTCCTGGTTATGAAATTTCTCTAGAATTTGTCGACTTTTTAGACTGACATTTACTTTTGATTGTTTGGTACTGAAGTATCTGGTGAGTAAACCTTTGTCTTTCAGCCAACTACAGCTCTGTCAAAGATGAACCAATACAGACATGTTGCATCTAATCTTAAAGCTCAGAACAGCTTTAATCCAGTACACCCATGTTGTCGGCCCCTGGGCATTTTTGGGGAACTAAAGTGGCCCTCTAACAATAAAGTTTGGTTTAAAAGACATGTCCCACGTCTTCTCTTCTCAACCAGGTCTGAAGAGCTCCATCTGTTCCTGCAACTATACAGATCATACACTTGAATATACACTTTTATACATGCTTCTGTATCATGGAAATGTTAGCGATTTTATTTTTACTTCTTTATTTTGCTAAAGTTAGAGCAGCTCCAAAGACATCAACATTCTCCCCCAAAATGTAATGTTTTGAATCAATCCCATTATCAATAAACGACAAGAGTTATTGTAAAACTATCCTTTCTCTTTCACTTTTCTACATTGTCCTTCAGCAATCACAAAAATCAAAGTGTGAAAATCCCTCAACAAACTCTGGACGGTGAGATAAAGAGAAAATGAAAACCAGGGGAGAATCTGGTGCCAAGACCAGGTGGATGAACCAGCGCCGGGGACGTCCTGGTGTGCGTCAAACCGAAAGGGAAAGAAGAAGATCCCGGATTAAATCTGGCAAATATTTAAAAGCACATTGTTCTGAACCTGCGGCGACTGGAGCGAGCAAACTGCAGCCACTGAGACAGAAGCAGGTCACAGCCAGTTTAAAACAGTAATATGTTAGATGTTCTTGTAATTCCATCAATAAGAAGGTCCTGGGTTCAAATCCCGGTCAGAACGGGGAAATTAATGAACTGTGAAGGTGTCCAAATATTTAGGAAGAGGCCGCTTTAGTTCATCACCTGGATTTAAATTGGTCTCTCTCTGGTCTCTCTCTCGGGTCTCTCTCTGGTCTCTCTCGCTGGTCTCTCTCTCTGGTCTCTCTCTGGTCTCTCTCTCTGGTCTCTCTCTCTGGTCTCTCTCTCTGGTCTCTCTCTGGTCTCTCTCTCTGGTCTCTCTCTCTGGTCTCTCTCTCTGGTCTCTCTCTCTGGTCTCTCTCTCTGGTCTCTCTCTGGTCTCTCTCTCTCTGGTCTCTCTCGCTGGTCTCTCTCTCTGGTCTCTCTCTGGTCTCTCTCTCTGGTCTCTCTCTCTAGTCTCTCTCTGGGCTCTCTCTCTGGTCTCTCTCTCTGGTCTCTCTCTGGTCTCTCTCTCTGGTCTCTCTCTCTGGTCTCTCTCTCTGGTCTCTCTCTCTGGTCTCTCTCTCTGGTCTCTCTCTCTGGTCTCTCTCTCTGGTCTCTCTCTGGTCTCTGGTCTCTCTCTCTCTGGTCTCTCTCTCTGGTCTCTCTCTCTGGTCTCTCTCTGGTCTCTCTCTCTGGTCTCTCTCTGGTCTCTCTCTCTGGTCTCTCTCTCTGGTCTCTCTCTAGTCGGTCAGAACGGGGTCTTTCTCAGTGGAGTTTGCATGTTCAACCCGTTCTTGCGTAAGTTTCCTCCGGGTACTCCGGGTGGATTAGTGGTTTCCCCTACCACTAAAACACGCACACTAGGTTAAATCCTCCAGCTTTGGTCCTGACCAAACCGAGTCCTGAACAACCGGGCGCTGTTACTACGGCGACCACTGCTCCTGACGTAAGCCTTAGTGGCATCAGGATGGGTCAAATGCAGAGGATTGAATTGTCCTACAGGGATTAGTAAAGCCGGGTGAGACTAGACCAGGTGAGACTAGACCAGGTAAGACTAGACCAGCTGAGACTAAACCAGGTGAGACTAGACCAGGTGAGACTTTACCAGGTGAGACTAATCCAGGTAAAACAAACAAGAGAGAGGAGGTGAGACATGTCTGAACCAAAACCATGATTCACACGAAATGAATGATCTGTGAAGGAAGAGGCCACTTTAGTTCATCACCTTGTTTTAAATAGGTCTCTCTCTGGTCTCTCTCTGTTCTCTCTCTCTCTGGTCTCTCTCTCTGGTATCTCTCTGGTCTCTCTCTCTGGTCTCTCTCTGGTCTCTCTCTCTCTGGACTCTCTCTGGACTCTCTCTGGTCTCTCTCTAGTCTGTCTCTGGTCTCTCACTCTGATCCCTCTCTGGTTTCTCTCTGGTCTCTCTCTGATCTCTCTCTAGTCTTTCTCTGGTCTCTCTCTGGTCTCTCTCTGGTCTCTCTCTCTGGTCTCTCTCTCTGGTCTCTCTCTGGTCTCTCTCTAGTCTCTCTCTAGTCTCTCTCTAGTCTCTCTCTGGTCTCTCTCTAGTCTTTCTCTGGTATCGCTCTGGTCTCTCTCTAGTCTCTCTCTCTGGTCTCTCTCTCTGGTCTCTCTCTCTGGTCTCTCTCTGGTCTCTCTCTGGTCTCTCTCTAGTCTTTCTCTGGTATCTCTCTGGTCTCTCTCTAGTCTCTCTCCCTGGTCTCTCTCTCTGGTCTCTCTCTCTGGTCTCTCTCTGGTCTCTCTCTAGTCTCTCTCTAGTCTTTCTCTAGTCTTTCTCTGGTTTCTCTCTGGTCTCTCTCAAGTTTCTCTCTGGTCGCTCTCTGGTCTCTCTCTCTGGTCGCTCTCTGGTCTCTCTCTTGTCTCTCACTTATAAGACCCTTGAGTACATAGAAAGTCAGCCCCAAATGAATCAAATGTACCTTTACATTAGTAATTAGTATTAATATAATTGTTAACTCAGCTGCTAAACTTTGAAAAGACATGTTTCCAGTGAAAATGATTCAATCATTCGGAGAAACTGAAATTCAAACGTAATTTCAAAGTAAAAACAGAAAGACTGAGTCACTTCTGTGAAATAAAACATCTTTAACTCAAAACTTTCAAAAATGTCAAAACAGGAGTTAGTACTAAAATACTAAAATGTGAAATATTGGATGAAATATTACCTTCATATATGTTTATGTGTGAGAGACCTGAACCAGGAATACAGACTCTAACCTCAGAAGACCAGTATAATGTTCATTTATTCATGTCTAAAGTTTCACCATCGACTCTCGGAGCATGAATCATTTACAAAAGTTACTGGAACAAGTTGTTTTTGTTCCAGTTTAGTCACAGTTAACACCTGCTCTGGTTCACTGCCTGTTCCCACCAATATTACTAATTATTACTCTCACTGACTTACTATTAAACTATTACTAACTGTGTCTGTGGTTAAACATAAAAGGTTTGACATTAAAGGTCCAGTATCAGGTGGATCTGACGCTGTAATGTTGCTGTGTTTTGATGTATCTATCTATCTGTAGATTTGTAGAGTAGTGTAGTGTAGAGCTAAACTGAGTAGAGTAGAGTAGAGTAGAGTAGAGTACAGTAGGGCCCAGTACAGTAGAGTAGAGTAGAGTACAGTTGAGAAAAGTAGAGTACAGTAGAGTCGCATAGAGCCAGGTAGCATGTGTGGAAATGGGGCCTAACATGGCTCACATCTGCTTCTCATATCAAACCAAATGTATTGAAATATGAAATAAAATCGCAAAGCAGTTTTACAGACTCAGATTCCGGCTCCTTTCTGTTCCTCAGCAGGAGCAGCATCAAACCATAAAGACATGGCAAAACAGGATATGTCAAACAGAAACATAAGCAGTAAGTGTTTTTAACCCAGTGTGAAAACTCCATGAACCTGGATCTTAAATAACTCACTTCTGTTTGGGTCCTTCACGGTCGGAGCCTTGTCCTGGTGACGCCGTACATTAGCTACAGTAGCAGCCTGTCCTGGTCTGTGCTGACGCCGTACATTAGCTACAGTAGCAGTCTGTCCTGGTCTGTGCTGACGCCGTACATTAGCTACAGTAGCAGCCTGTCCCGGTCCGTGCTGACGCCGTACATTAGCTACAGTAGGAGTCTGTCCTGGTCTGTGCTGACGCCGTACATTAGCTACAGTAGCAGCCTGTCCTGGTCCGTGCTGACGCCGTACATTAGCTACAGTAGGAGTCTGTCCTGGTCTGTGCTGACGCCGTACATTAGCTACAGTAGCAGCCTGTCCTGGTCCGTGCTGACGCCGTACATTAGCTACAGTAGGAGTCTGTCCTGGTCTGTGCTGACGCCGTACATTAGCTACAGTAGCAGCCTGTCCTGGTCCGTGCTGACGCCGTACATTAGCTACAGTAGCAGTCTGTCCCGGTCCGTGCTGACGCCGTACATTAGCTACAGTAGCAGCCTGTCCTGGTCTGTGCTGACGCCGTACATTAGCTACAGTAGCAGCCTGTCCTGGTCTGTGCTGACGCCGTACATTAGCTACAGTAGGAGTCTGTCCTGGTCTGTGCTGACGCCGTACATTAGCTACAGTAGCAGCCTGTCCTGGTCCGTGCTGACGCCGTACTTAGCTACAGTAGCAGCCTGTCCTGGTCCGTGCTGACGCCGTACATTAGCTACAGTAGGAGTCTGTCCTGGTCTGTGCTGACGCCGTACATTAGCTACAGTAGCAGCCTGTCCTGGTCCGTGCTGACGCCGTACATTAGCTACAGTAGAGTCTGTCCTGGTCTGTGCTGACGCCGTACATTAGCTACAGTAGCAGTCTGTCCTGGTCTGTGCTGACGCCGTACATTAGCTACAGTAGCAGCCTGTCCTGGTCCGTGCTGACGCCGTACATTAGCTACAGTAGGAGTCTGTCCTGGTCTGTGCTGACGCCGTACATTAGCTACAGTAGCAGTCTGTCCTGGTCTGTGCTGACGCCGTACATTAGCTACAGTAGCAGTCTGTCCTGGTCTGTGCTGACGCCGTACATTAGCTACAGTAGCGGTCTGTCCCGGTCCGTGCTGACGCCGTACATTAGCTACAGTAGGAGTCTGTCCCGGTCCGTGCTGACGCCGTACATTAGCTACAGTAGGAGTCTGTCCCGGTCCGTGCTGACGCCGTACATTAGCTACAGTAGCGGTCTGTCCCGGTCCGTGCTGACGCCGTACATTAGCTACAGTAGGAGTCTGTCCTGGTCCGTGCTGACGCCGTACATTAGCTACAGTAGCGGTCTGTCCTGGTCCGTGCTGACACCGTACATTAGCTACAGTAGGAGTCTGTCCTGGTCCGTGCTGATGCCGTACATTAGCTACAATAGCAGTCTGTCCTGGTCTGTGCTGACGCCGTACATTAGCTACAGTAGCGGTCTGTCCTGGTCCGTGCTGATGCCGTACATTAGCTACAGTAGAAGTCTGTCCTGGTCTGTGCTGACGCCGTACATTAGCTACAGTAGCAGTCTGTCCTGGTCTGTGCTGACGCCGTACATTAGCTACAGTAGCAGTCTGTCCTGGTCTGTGCTGACGCCGTACATTAGCTACAGTAGCAGTCTGTCCTGGTCTGTGCTGACGCCGTACATTAGCTACAGTAGCAGCCTGTCCTGGTCCGTGCTGACGCCGTACATTAGCTACAGTAGCAGTCTGTCCTGGTCTGTGCTGACGCCGTACATTAGCTACAGTAGCAGCCTGTCCTGGTCCGTGCTGACGCCGTACATTAGCTACAGTAGGAGTCTGTCCTGGTCTGTGCTGACGCCGTACATTAGCTACAGTAGCAGCCTGTCCTGGTCCGTGCTGACGCCGTACATTAGCTACAGTAGCAGCCTGTCCTGGTCCGTGCTGACGCCGTACATTAGCTACAGTAGCAGTCTGTCCTGGTCTGTGCTGACGCCGTACATTAGCTACAGTAGGAGTCTGTCCTGGTCCGTGCTGACGCCGTACATTAGCTACAGTAGGAGTCTGTCCTGGTCTGTGCTGACGCCGTACATTAGCTACAGTAGGAGTCTGTCCTGGTCCGTGCTGACGCCGTACATTAGCTACAGTAGCAGCCTGTCCTGGTCCGTGCTGACGCCGTACATTAGCTACAGTAGGAGTCTGTCCTGGGTCGGCTCTGGCGGAAGGCGGACACAAACCTGGGAGTGTATTTTGGAAAATCTGAAAAGGTTCTTTGAGGGAGTTTAAACAAAACAGCCGCCATGAAGAAGAAGCACAAACACAAGGTCACGTTTACACACACGAAGGTCCTGGACTCTGTGGGACTGTGTGGGACTGTGTTGGACTCAGCGGGACCACAGTGGGTCCTTTATGAGAGGGGAAGGGATGTTGATACAGCTACAAGTAAGGCAAGTTTATTGGTAGAGCAAAGTTCATACACAAGGCAACTTAAAGTGCTGAGCAAAACACAAGGCACTATCATAGTCAGAGAAGAAGCCTGTCTCATATTATCAGGAAGACTGTTCCAGATTTTAGCTGCATGAATCTGAAACGCTGACTCCCCATGTTCAGTCCTGACTCTGGGACCAGCAGGAGGCCAGTCCCTGTGCTCCTCAGAGTCCCAGCAGGAGTAGACGATGGCTGGTGGAAACGAGGCTATGGTCTTTCTGTTTATGTCATAAAAAAATACCTAAAAATAGCTTTGTGTCAAAACAACGAACCCAGATATGTGCAAATGGCCTTCAACGACAACAACAACAACAACAAGAGAGTTTAATCAGTGCTGAGAGGAGACAGAAAGTCCTCAAGTTTTTTTATCGGAGCAGATTTTAGACATTCTTCGCATTTCATATCAAATCTCTGCCTCACTCTGGAACATTCTGGAACATTCTGTATCTATTTTGGGAACTTTCTAAAGTGTAACTCGGTCCATTCTCTGTCCATGATAAAAGCTGGGTCCATAAACAGTTTTTCCCATCAATAATAAATGTTGTTTGTTTCAACAGAAAGAGAAGTTTTGAACTAACCACAACTTTCTTTTGTCACTTTTCTGTCTGATCTAAAGATGTGACAGAGGCAGAAATACAAATATGTGAAAACTATTGATAAAACCCTTTGGAACTAAATCATATCTTAACCCTTTAATGTTCAGTCCTTGAAGAAACTTTGACTAAAAACACAAATAAATAGTTGTAAGTATTATTTTATGCCTTTACCAAATGTTTCTATCACTGAGTTTTTATCTCAATTTAATGTAAAAGTGGCAAAAACTCAGTGAAAGAAATGCCCCCGTGAGGAAGATTTCAGTTCCAAGCTTCAAGTAAATTTAGTGAATCAAAAAGTGATCCACCAAATGGTTGAGGAAACCATTAAAGGGTTGATATTTAATGCTTTGGGTGTTTTTGTTTCATGGGGAGGCAGCATGTTTTTGTTTACCTGCAGCAACTGTAGGATTGTATCTTCCTTTTTCATGTCCAGTGGTTAGATATGATTTGAATGATTCTTCTTCAGCACTTTGAGATTCATGTGTGAACTGTACATGATGTAACTGCAGCTCACCGCACCTCACCCCATGTTCTGTCTTCTCTGATGTCTCCTGATGTCTCCTGATGTCTCCTCTGATGTCTCCTGATGTCTCCTCTGATGTCTCCTGATGTCTCCTGATGTCTCCTGATGTCTCCTCTGATGTCTCCTGATGTCTCCTGATGTCTCCTGATGTCTCCTGATGTCTCCTCTGATGTCTCCTGATGTCTCCTGATGTCTCCTGATGTCTCCTCTGATGTCTCTGGTCTCTCTCTCTGGTCTCTCTCTGGTCTCTCTCTTGTCTCTCACTTATAAGACCCTTGAGTACATAGAAAGTCAGCCCCAAATGAATCAAATGTACCGTTACATTAGTAATTAGTATTAATATAATTGTTAACTCAGCTGCTAAACTTTGAAAAGACATGTTTCCAGTGAAAATGATTCAATCATTCGGAGAAACTGAAATTCAAACGTAATTTCAAAGTAAAAACAGAAAGACTGAGTCACTTCTGTGAAATAAAACATCTCTAACTCAAAACATTCAAAAATGTCAAAACAGGAGTTAGTACTAAAATACTAAAATGTGAAATATCTCAATAAGAACATAGTCGTATATGTTTATGTGTGAGAGACCTGAACCAGGAAGACAGACTCTAACCTCAGAAGACCAGTATAATGTTCGTTTATTCATGTCTAAAGTTTCACCATCGACTCTCGGAGCATGAATCATTTACAAAAGTACTGGAACAAGTTGTTTTTGTTCCAGTTTAGTCACAGTTAACACCTGCTCTGGTTCACTGCCTGTTCCCACCAATATTACTAATTATTACTCTCACTGACTTACTATTAAACTATTACTAACTGTGTCTGTGGTTAAACATAAAAGGTTTGACATTAAAAGTCCAGTATCAGGTGGATCTGACGCTGCAATGTTGCTGTGTTTTGATGTATCTATCTATCTGTAGATTCGTAGAGTAGTGTAGTGTAGAGCTAAACTGAGTAGAGTAGAGTAGAGTAGAGTAGAGTAGAGTAGAGTAGAGTAGTGTAGAGTAGAGTAGAGTAGAGTAGAGTAGTGTAGAGTAGAGTAGAGTAGAGTATTGTAGAGTAGTGTAGAGTAGAGTAGAGTAGAGTAGAGTAGAGTAGAGTAGAGTAGAGTAGAGTAGGGTAGAGTAGAGTAGAGTAGAGTAGTGTAGAGTAGACTAGAGTAGAGTAGAGTAGAGTAGAGTAGAGTAGAGTAGAGTAGAGTAGGGTAGGGTAGAGTAGAGTAGAGTAGGGTAGAGTAGAGTAGAGTAGAGTAGAGTAGAGTAGAGTAGGGTAGAGTAGAGTAGAGTAGAGTAGAGTAGAGTAGAGTAGAGTAGGGTAGAGTAGAGTAGGGTAGAGTAGTAGAGTAGAGTAGAGTAGAGTAGAGTAGAGAAGGGTAGGGTAGAGTAGAGTAGAGTAGTGTAGAGTAGAGTAGAGTAGAGTAGAGTAGAGTAGGGTAGGGTAGGGTAGGGTAGAGTAGAGTAGAGTAGAGTAGAGTAGTGTAGAGTAGAGTAGAGTAGAGTAGAGTAGAGTAGAGTAGAGTAGAGTAGAGTAGGGTAGAGTAGAGTAGGGTAGAGTAGAGTAGTAGAGTAGAGTAGAGTAGAGTAGAGTAGAGTAGAGAAGGGTAGGGTAGAGTAGAGTAGAGTAGTGTAGAGTAGAGTAGAGTAGAGTAGAGTAGAGTAGGGTAGGGTAGGGTAGGGTAGAGTAGAGTAGAGTAGAGTAGTGTAGAGTAGAGTAGAGTAGAGTAGAGTAGAGTAGAGTAGAGTAGAGTAGAGTAGAGTAGAGTAGAGTAGTAGTAGAGTCCTGGTCCGTGCTGACGCCGTACATTAGCTACAGTAGGAGTCTGTCCTGGGTCGGATCTGGCGGAAGGCGGACACAAACCTGGGAGTGTATTTTGGAAAATCTGAAAAGGTTCTTTGAGGGAGTGTAAACAAAACAGCCGCCATGAAGAAGAAGCACAAACACAAGGTCACGTTTACACACACGAAGGTCCTGGACTCTGTGGGACTGTGTTGGACTCAGCGGGACCACAGTGGGTCCTTTATGAGAGGGGAAGGGATGTTGATACAGCTACAAGTAAGGCAAGTTTATTGGTAGAGCAAAGTTCATACACAAGGCAACTTAAAGTGCTGAGCAAAACACAAGGCACTATCATAGTCAGAGAAGAAGCCTGTCTCATATTATCAGGAAGACTGTTCCAGATTTTAGCTGCATGAATCTGAAACGCTGACTCCCCATGTTCAGTCCTGACTCTGGGACCAGCAGGAGGCCAGTCCCTGTGCTCCTCAGAGTCCCAGCAGGAGGCCAGTCCCTGTGCTCCTCAGAGTCCCAGCAGGAGTAGACGATGGCTGGTGGAAACGAGGCTATGGTCTTTCTGTTTATGTCATAAAAAATACCTAAAAATAGCTTTGTGTCAAAACAACGAACCCAGATATGTGCAAATGGCCTTCAACGACAACAACAACAACAACAAGAGAGTTTAATCAGTGCTGAGAGGAGACAGAAAGTCCTCAAGTTTTTTTTATCTGAGCAGATTTTAGACATTCTTCACATTTCATATCAAATCTCTGCCTCACTCTGGAGCATTCTGGAACATTCTGTATCTATTTTGGGAACTTTCTAAAGTGTAACTCGGTCCATTCTCTGTCCATGATAAAAGCTGGGTCCATAAACAGTTTTTCCCATCAATAATAAATGTTGTTTGTTTCAACAGAAAGAGAAGTTTTGAACTAACCACAACTTTCTTTTGTCACTTTTCTGTCTGATCTAAAGATGTGACAGAGGCAGAAATACAAATATGTGAAAACTATTGATAAAACCCTTTGGAACTAAATCATATCTTAACCCTTTAATGTTCAGTCCTTGAAGAAACTTTGACTAAAAACACAAATAAATAGTTGTAAGTATTATTTTATGCCTTTACCAAATGTTTCTATCACTGAGTTTTTTATCTCAATTCAATGTAAAAGTGGCAAAAACTCAGTGAAAGAAATGCCCCCGTGAGGAAGATTTCAGTTCCAAGCTTCAAGTAAATTTAGTGACTCAAAAAGTGATCCACCAAATGGTTGAGGAAACCATTAAAGGGTTGATATTTAATGCTTTGGGTGTTTTTGTTTCATGGGGAGGCAGCATGTTTTTGTTTACCTGCAGCAACTGTAGGATTGTATCTTCCTTTTTCATGTCCAGTGGTTAGATATGATTTGAATGATTCTTCTTCAGCACTTTGAGATTCATGTGTGAACTGTACATGATGTAACTGCAGCTCACCGCACCACACCCCATGTTCTGTCTCCTCTGATGTCTCCTGATGTCTCCTGATGTCTCCTGATGTCTCCTCTGATGTCTCCTGATGTCTCCTGATGTCTCCTGATGTCTCCCCTGATGTCTCCTGATGTCTCCTCTGATGTCTCCTGATGTCTCCTGATGTCTCCTGATGTCTCCTGATGTCTCCTCTGATGTCTCCTGATGTCTCCTGATGTCTCCTCTGATGTCTCCTGATGTCTCCTCTGATGTCTCCTCTGATGTCTCCTGATGTCTCCTGATGTCTCCTCTGATGTCTCCTGATGTCTCCTGATGTCTCCTGATGTCTCCTCTGATGTCTCCTGATGTCTCCTGATGTCCTCTGATGTGTTTTTCATCTCTCTCTGTTTCCGCGGATGTCGTCAGTCTCTCAGACCCAGAGTGGAGGGATTACCCGTTATGTAAGAAGGCAGAGGGAGGTATAGGGAGGCAGAGGGAGACAGAGGGAGGTAGAGGGAGGCAGAGGGAGACAGAGGGAGGCAGAGGGAGGCAGAGGGAGGTAGAGTGAGACAGAGGGAGACAGAGGGAGACAGAGGGAGGCAGAGGGAGGCAGAGGGAGACAGAGGGAGGCAGAGGGAGGCAGAGGGAGGCAGAGGGAGGTAGAGGGAGTCAGAGGGAGGCAGAGGGAGGCAGAGGGAGGCAGAGGGAGGCAGAGGGAGGTAGAGGGAGGTAGAGGGAGGAGAGGGAGACAGAGGGAGGTAGAGGGAGGTAGAGGGAGAGGTAGAGGGAGACAGAGGGAGGTAGAGGGAGGCAGAGGGAGGTAGAGGGAGACAGAGGGAGGTAGAGGGAGACAGAGGGAGGTAGAGGGAGACAGAGGGAGGTAGAGGGAGGCAGAGGGAGGCAGAGGGAGGCAGAGGGAGGCAGAGGGAGACAGAGGGAGGCAGAGGGAGGTAGAGGGAGACAGAGGGAGGCAGGGGGAGGCAGAGGGAGGTAGAGGGAGACAGGTGGAGACAGAGGGAGGTAGAGGGAGACAGAGGGAGACAGAGGGAGGTAGAGGGAGGCAGAGGGAGGCAGAGGGAGATAGAGGGAGGCAGAGGGAGGCAGAGGGAGGCAGAGGGAGGCAGAGGGAGGCAGAGGGAGACAGAGGGAGACAGAGGGAGGCAGAGGGAGACAGAGGGAGGCAGAGGGAGGTAGAGGGAGACAGAGGGAGGCAGAGGGAGGCAGAGGGAGACAGAGGGAGACAGAGGGAGGCAGAGGGAGGCAGAGGGAGACAGAGGGAGGCAGAGGGAGGTAGAGGGAGACAGGTGGAGACAGAGGGAGGTAGAGGGAGACAGAGGGAGGTAGAGGGAGACAGAGGGAGGTAGAGGGAGGCAGAGGGAGACAGAGGGAGACAGAGGGAGGCAGAGGGAGGCAGAGGGAGACAGAGGGAGGCAGAGGGAGGCAGAGGGAGACAGAGGGAGACAGAGGGAGGTAGAGGGAGGCAGAGGGAGACAGAGGGAGGTAGAGGGAGGTAGAGGGAGACAGAGGGAGACAGAGGGAGGCAGAGGGAGACAGAGGAAGGTAGAGGGAGACAGATGGAGGCAGATGGAGGTAGAGGGAGGAAGAGGGAGGCAGAGGGAGACAGAGGGAGACAGAGGGAGGTAGAGGGAGGCAGAGGGAGGCAGAGGGAGACAGAGGGAGGCAGAGGGAGGCAGAGGGAGACAGAGGGAGGTAGAGGGAGGCACAGGGAGGTAGAGGGAGGTAGAGGGAGGCAGAAGGAGGCAGAGGGAGACAGAGGGAGACAAAGGGAGGCAAAGGGAGACAGAGGGAGGCAGAGGGAGACAGAGGGAGGCAGAGGGAGGTAGAGGGAGACAGAGGGAGACAGAGGAAGGCAGAGGGAGACAGAGGGAGGGAGAGGGAGGCAGAGGGAGGCAGAGGGAGGCAGAGGGAGGCAGAGGGAGGCAGAGGGAGACAGAGGGAGACAGAGGGAGGCAGAGGGAGACAGAGGGAGGCAGAGGGAGGTAGAGGGAGACAGAGGGAGGCAGAGGGAGGCAGAGGGAGACAGAGGGAGGCAGAGGGAGGCAGAGGGAGGCAGAGGGAGACAGAGGGAGACAGAGGGAGGCAGAGGGAGACAGAGGGAGGCAGAGGGAGGTAGAGGGAGACAGAGGGAGGCAGAGGGAGGCAGAGGGAGACAGAGGGAGACAGAGGGAGGCAGAGGGAGACAGAGGGAGGCAGAGGGAGGTAGAGGGAGACAGGTGGAGACAGAGGGAGGTAGAGGGAGACAGAGGGAGGTAGAGGGAGACAGAGGGAGGTAGAGGGAGACAGAGGGAGGTAGAGGGAGGCAGAGGGAGACAGAGGGAGACAGAGGGAGACAGAGGGAGGCAGAGGGAGGCAGAGGGAGACAGAGGGAGGCAGAGGGAGGCAGAGGGAGACAGAGGGAGGCAGAGGGAGACAGAGGGAGACAGAGGGAGGTAGAGGGAGGAAGAGGGAGGCAGAGGGAGACAGAGGGAGGTAGAGGGAGGAAGAGGGAGGCAGAGGGAGACAGAGGGAGACAGAGGGAGGCAGAGGGAGGCAGAGGGAGGCAGAGGGAGGCAGAGGGAGACAGAGGGAGGCAGAGGGAGGCACAGGGAGGTAGAGGGAGGTAGAGGGAGGCAGAAGGAGGCAGAGGGAGACAGAGGGAGACAAAGGGAGGCAAAGGGAGACAGAGGGAGGCAGAGGGAGGTAGAGGGAGGCAGAGGGAGACAGAGGGAGGTAGAGGGAGGTAGAGGGAGGCAGAAGGAGGCAGAGGGAGACAGAGGGAGACAAAGGGAGGCAGAGGGAGACAGAGGGAGGCAGAGGGAGGTAGAGGGAGGCAGAGGGAGACAGAGGGAGACAGAGGGAGACAGAGGGAGGTAGAGGGAGGTAGAGGGAGACAGAGGGAGACAGAGGGAGACAGAGGGAGACAGAGGGAGGCAGAGGGAGGCAGAGGGAGGCAGAGGGAGACAGAGGGAGGCAGAGGGAGGCAGAGGGAGGCAGAGGGAGACAGAGGGAGGTAGAGGGAGGCACAGGGAGGCACAGGGAGGTAGAGGGAGGCAGAAGGAGGCAGAGGGAGACAGAGGGAGACAAAGGGAGGCAAAGGGAGACGGAGGGAGGCAGAGGGAGGTAGAGGGAGGCAGAGGGAGACAGAGGGAGGTAGAGGGAGGTAGAGGGAGGCAGAAGGAGGCAGAGGGAGACAGAGGGAGACAAAGGGAGGCAGAGGGAGACAGGGGGAGGCAGAGGGAGGTAGAGGGAGGCAGAGGGAGACAGAGGGAGACAGAGGGAGGTAGAGGGAGACAGTGGGAGGCAGAGGGAGGTAGAGGGAGACAGAGGGAGGCAGAGGGAGGTAGAGGGAGGCAGAGGGAGACAGAGGGAGGCAGAGGGAGGTAGAGGGAGACAGAGGGAGACAGTGGGAGACAGAGGGAGGCAGAGGGAGACAGAGGGAGGCAGAGGGAGGTAGAGGGAGGTAGAGGGAGGCAGAGGGAGACAGAGGGAGGCAGAGGGAGACAGAGGGAGACAGAGGGAGACAGAGGGAGGTAGAGGGAGGCAGAGGGAGACAGAGGGAGGCAGAGGGAGGTAGAGGGAGACAGAGGGAGACAGAGGGAGGTAGAGGGAGGTAGAGGGAGACAGAGGGAGGTAGAGGGAGACAGAGGGAGGCAGAGGGAGGTAGAGGGAGGAAGAGGGAGGAAGAGGGAGGCAGAGGGAGACAGAGGGAGGCAGAGGGAGGTAGAGGGAGACAGAGGGAGGCAGAGGGAGGTAGAGGGAGGCAGAGGGAGACAGAGGGAGACAGTGGGAGACAGAGGGAGGCAGAGGGAGGCAGAGGGAGGCAGAGGGAGGCAAAGGGAGGCAGAGGGAGGCAGAGGGAGACAGAGGGAGGCAGAGGGAGGCAGAGGGAGGTAGAGGGAGACAGAGGGAGGCAGAGGGAGGTAGAGGGAGGCAGAGGGAGACAGAGGGAGACAGTGGGAGACAGAGGGAGGCAGAGGGAGGCAGAGGGAGGCAGAGGGAGGCAGAGGGAGGTAGAGGGAGACAGAGGGAGGCAGAAGGAGGTAGAGGGAGACAGAGGGAGGCAGAGGGAGGCAGAGGGAGACAGAGGGAGACAGAGGGAGGGAGAGGGAGGCAGAGGGAGACAGAGGGAGGCAGAGGGAGGTAGAGGGAGACAGAGGGAGACAGAGGGAGGTAGAGGGAGACAGAGGGAGGTAGAGGGAGACAGAGGGAGGTAGAGGGAGACAGAGGGAGGCAGAGGGAGGTAGAGGGAGGAAGAGGGAGGCAGAGGGAGACAGAGGGAGGCAGAGGGAGGCAGAGGGAGACAGAGGGAGGCAGAGGGAGGCAGAGGGAGGCAGAGGGAGACAGAGGGAGGTAGAGGGAGGCAGAGGGAGGTAGAGGGAGGTAGAGGGAGGCAGAAGGAGGCAGAGGGAGACAGAGGGAGACAAAGGGAGGCAGAGGGAGACAGATTGAGGCAGAGGGAGGTAGAGGGAGGCAGAGGGAGACAGAGGGAGGCACAGGGAGGTAGAGGGAGGTAGAGGGAGGCAGAAGGAGGCAGAGGGAGACAGAGGGAGACAAAGGGAGGCAGAGGGAGACAGAGGGAGGCAGAGGGAGGCAGAGGGAGGCAGAGGGAGACAGAGGGAGGTAGAAGGAGGCAGAGGGAGGCAGAGGAAGACAGAGGGAGGCAGAGGGAGGCAGAGGAAGACAGAGGGAGGCAGAGGGAGGCAGAGGGAGACAGAGGGAGGCAGAGGGAGACAGAGGGAGGCAGAGGGAGGCAGAGGGAGACAGAGGGAGACAGAGGGAGGTAGAGGGAGGCAGAGGGAGGCAGAGGGAGACAGAGGGAGGTAGAGGGAGGCAGAGAGAGACAGAGGGAGGCAGAGGGAGGCAGAGGGAGGCAGAGGGAGGTAGAGGGAGACAGAGGGAGGCAGAGGGAGGCAGAGGGAGGTAGAGGGAGGCAGAGGGAGACAGAGGGAGACAGAGGGAGGTAGAGGGAGGCAGAGGGAGACAGAGGGAGGCAGAGGGAGGTAGAGGGAGACAGAGGGAGACAGAGGGAGGTAGAGGGAGACAGAGGGAGGTAGAGGGAGACAGATGGAGGTAGAGGGAGACAGAGGGAGGCAGAGGGAGGTAGAGGGAGGAAGAGGGAGGCAGAGGGAGACAGAGGGAGGCAGAGGGAGGCAGAGGGAGACAGAGGGAGGCAGAGGGAGGCAGAGGGAGACAGAGGGAGGTAGAGGGAGACAGAGGGAGGTAGAAGGAGGCAGAGGGAGGCAGAAGGAGACAGAGGGAGGTAGAGGGAGACAGAGGGAGGTAGAGGGAGACAGAGGGAGGTAGAGGGAGATAGAGGGAGGCAGAGGGAGGTAGAGGGAGGAAGAGGAAGGAAGAGGGAGGCAGAGGGAGACAGAGGGAGGCAGAGGGAGGCAGAGGGAGGTAGAGGGAGACAGAGGGAGACAGTGGGAGACAGAGGGAGGCAGAGGGAGGCAGAGGGAGGCAGAGGGAGGCAAAGGGAGGCAGAGGGAGACAGAGGGAGGTAGAGGGAGACAGAGGGAGGCAGAGGGAGGTAGAGGGAGGAAGAGGGAGGAAGAGGGAGGCAGAGGGAGACAGAGGGAGGCAGAGGGAGGCAGAGGGAGGTAGAGGGAGGCAGAGGGAGGCAGAGGGAGGTAGAGGGAGGCAGAGGGAGACAGAGGGAGACAGTGGGAGACAGAGGGAGGCAGAGGGAGGCAGAGGGAGGCAGAGGGAGGCAAAGGGAGGCAGAGGGAGGCAGAGGGAGACAGAGGGAGGTAGAGGGAGACAGAGGGAGGTAGAGGGAGGCAGAGGGAGACAGAGGGAGACAGTGGGAGACAGAGGGAGGCAGAGGGAGGCAGAGGGAGGCAGAGGGAGGCAGAGGGAGGTAGAGGGAGACAGAGGGAGGCAGAAGGAGGCAGAGGGAGACAGAGGGAGACAGAGGGAGGTAGAGGGAGGCAGAGGGAGACAGAGGGAGGCAGAGGGAGGTAGAGGAAGACAGAGGGAGACAGAGGGAGGTAGAGGGAGACAGAGGGAGGTAGAGGGAGACAGAGGGAGGTAGAGGGAGACAGAGGGAGGCAGAGGGAGGTAGAGGGAGGAAGAGGGAGGCAGAGGGAGACAGAGGGAGGCAGAGGGAGGCAGAGGGAGACAGAGGGAGGCAGAGGGAGGCAGAGGGAGGCAGAGGGAGACAGAGGGAGGTAGAGGGAGGCACAGGGAGGTAGAGGGAGGTAGAGGGAGGCAGAAGGAGGCAGAGGGAGACAGAGGGAGACAAAGGGAGGCAGAGGGAGACAGAGGGAGGCAGAGGGAGGTAGAGGGAGGCAGAGGGAGACAGAGGGAGGCACAGGGAGGTAGAGGGAGGTAGAGGGAGGCAGAAGGAGGCAGAGGGAGACAGAGGGAGACAAAGGGAGGCAGAGGGAGACAGAGGGAGGCAGAGGGAGGCAGAGGGAGGCAGAGGGAGACAGAGGGAGGTAGAAGGAGGCAGAGGGAGGCAGAGGAAGACAGAGGGAGGCAGAGGGAGGCAGAGGAAGACAGAGGGAGGCAGAGGGAGGCAGAGGGAGACAGAGGGAGGCAGAGGGAGACAGAGGGAGACAGAGGGAGGTAGAGGGAGGCAGAGGGAGGCAGAGGGAGGCAGAGGGAGACAGAGGGAGGTAGAGGGAGGCAGAGGGAGGCAGAGGGAGGCAGAGGGAGGCAGAGGGAGGTAGAGGGAGACAGAGGGAGGCAGAGGGAGGCAGAGGGAGGTAGAGGGAGGCAGAGGGAGACAGAGGGAGACAGAGGGAGGTAGAGGGAGGCAGAGGGAGACAGAGGGAGGCAGAGGGAGACAGAGGGAGGCAGAGGGAGGCAGAGGGAGGTAGAGGGAGACAGAGGGAGGCAGAGGGAGGCAGAGGGAGGTAGAGGGAGGCAGAGGGAGACAGAGGGAGACAGAGGGAGGTAGAGGGAGGCAGAGGGAGACAGAGGGAGGCAGAGGGAGGTAGAGGGAGACAGAGGGAGACAGAGGGAGGTAGAGGGAGACAGAGGGAGGTAGAGGGAGACAGATGGAGGTAGAGGGAGACAGAGGGAGGCAGAGGGAGGTAGAGGGAGGAAGAGGGAGGCAGAGGGAGACAGAGGGAGGCAGAGGGAGGCAGAGGGAGACAGAGGGAGGCAGAGGGAGGCAGAGGGAGACAGAGGGAGGTAGAGGGAGACAGAGGGAGACAGAGGGAGGCACAGGGAGGTAGAGGGAGGTAGAGGGAGGCAGAAGGAGGCAGAGGGAGACAGAGGGAGACAAAGGGAGGCAGAGGGAGACAGAGGGAGGCAGAGGGAGGCAGAGGGAGGCAGAGGGAGACAGAGGGAGGTAGAGGGAGGCAGAGGGAGGCAGAGGAAGACAGAGGGAGGCAGAGGGAGGCAGAGGAAGACAGAGGGAGGCAGAGGGAGGCAGAGGGAGACAGAGGGAGGCAGAGGGAGACAGAGGGAGGCAGAGGGAGGCAGAGAGAGACAGAGGGAGACAGAGGGAGGCAGAGGGAGGCAGAGGGAGGCAGAGGGAGGCAGAGGGAGACAGAGGGAGGTAGAGGGAGGCAGAGAGAGACAGAGGGAGGCAGAGGGAGGCAGAGGGAGGCAGAGGGAGGCAGAGGGAGGTAGAGGGAGACAGAGGGAGGCAGAGGGAGGCAGAGGGAGGTAGAGGGAGGCAGAGGGAGGTAGAGGGAGACAGAGGGAGGCAGAGGGAGGCAGAGGGAGGTAGAGGGAGGCAGAGGGAGGTAGAGGGAGGCAGAGGGAGACAGAGGGAGACAGAGGGAGGCAGAGGGAGACAGAGGGAGGCAGAGGGAGACAGAGGGAGGCAGAGGGAGACAGAGGGAGGCAGAGGGAGGTAGAGGGAGACAGAGGGAGGTAGAGGGAGGCAGAGGGAGGCAGAGGGAGGCAGAGGGAGGCACAGGGAGGTAGAAGGAGGCAGAGGGAGACAGAGGGAGACAAAGGGAGGCAGAGGGAGACAGAGGGAGGTAGAAGGAGGCAGAGGGAGGCAGAGGGAGACAGAGGGAGGCAGAGGGAGACAGAGGGAGGCAGAGGGAGGTAGAGGGAGACAGAGGGAGGTAGAGGGAGGCACAGGGAGGTAGAGGGAGGTAGAGGGAGGCAGAGGGAGACAGAGGGAGGCAGAGGGAGACAGAGGGAGGCAAGAGGGAGGTAGAGGGAGACAGAGGGAGGTAGAAGGAGGCAGAGGGAGGCAGAGGGAGACAGAGGGAGGCAGAGGGAGACAGAGGGAGGCAGAGGGAGACAGAGGGAGGTAGAAGGAGGCAGAGGGAGGCAGAGGGAGACAGAGGGAGGCAGAGGGAGACAGAGGGAGGCAGAGGGAGGTAGAGGGAGACAGAGGGAGGTAGAGGGAGGCACAGGGAGGTAGAGGGAGGTAGAGGGAGGCAGAGGGAGACAGAGGGAGGCAGAGGGAGGTAGAGGGAGACAGAGGGAGGTAGAGGGAGGCACAGGGAGGTAGAGGGAGGTAGAGGGAGGCAGAGGGAGACAGAGGGAGGCAGAGGGAGGTAGAGGGAGACACAGGGAGGTAGAGGGAGGCACAGGGAGGTAGAAGGAGGCAGAGGGAGACAGAGGGAGACAAAGGGAGGCAGAGGGAGACAGAGGGAGGCAGAGGGAGGTAGAGGGAGGCAGAGGGAGACAGAGGGAGGCACAGGGAGGTAGAGGGAGGTAGAGGGAGGCAGAAGGAGGCAGAGGGAGACAGAGGGAGACAAAGGGAGGCAGAGGGAGACAGAGGGAGGCAGAGGGAGGCAGAGGGAGGCAGAGGGAGACAGAGGGAGGTAGAGGGAGGCAGAGGGAGGCAGAGGAAGACAGAGGGAGGCAGAGGGAGACAGAGGGAGGCAGAGGGAGACAGAGGGAGGCAGAGGGAGGTAGAGGGAGACAGAGGGAGGTAGAAGGAGGCAGAGGGAGGCAGAGGGAGACAGAGGGAGGCAGAGGGAGACAGAGGGAGGCAGAGGGAGGTAGAGGGAGACAGAGGGAGGTAGAGGGAGGCACAGGGAGGTAGAAGGAGGCAGAGGGAGACAGAGGGAGACAAAGGGAGGCAGAGGGAGACAGAGGGAGGCAGAGGGAGGTAGAGGGAGGCAGAGGGAGACAGAGGGAGGCACAGGGAGGTAGAGGGAGGTAGAGGGAGGCAGAAGGAGGCAGAGGGAGACAGAGGGAGACAAAGGGAGGCAGAGGGAGACAGAGGGAGGCAGAGGGAGGCAGAGGGAGGCAGAGGGAGACAGAGGGAGGTAGAGGGAGGCAGAGGGAGGCAGAGGAAGACAGAGGGAGGCAGAGGGAGACAGAGGGAGGCAGAGGGAGGTAGAGGGAGACAGGTGGAGACAGAGGGAGACAGAGGGAGACAGAGGGAGGTAGAGGGAGGCAGAGGGAGGCAGAGGGAGACAGAGGGAGGCAGAGGGAGGCAGAGGGAGACAGAGGGAGACAGAGGGAGGCAGAGGGAGGCAGAGGGAGGCAGAGGGAGACAGAGGGAGGCAGAGGGAGGCAGAGGGAGACAGAGGGAGACAGAGGGAGGTAGAGGGAGACAGAGGGAGACAAAGGGAGGCAGAGGGAGACAGAGGGAGGCAGAGGGAGGTAGAGGGAGGCAGAGGGAGACAGAGGGAGGCACAGGGAGGTAGAGGGAGGTAGAGGGAGGCAGAAGGAGGCAGAGGGAGACAGAGGGAGACAAAGGGAGGCAGAGGGAGACAGAGGGAGGTAGAGGGAGGCAGAGGGAGGCAGAGGAAGACAGAGGGAGGCAGAGGGAGACAGAGGGAGGCAGAGGGAGGTAGAGGGAGACAGGTGGAGACAGAGGGAGACAGAGGGAGACAGAGGGAGACAGAGGGAGGCAGAGGGAGGCAGAGGGAGACAGAGGGAGGCAGAGGGAGGCAGAGGGAGACAGAGGGAGACAGAGGGAGGTAGAGGGAGGTAGAGGGAGACAGAGGGAGGCAGAGGGAGGTAGAGGGAGACAGAGGGAGACAGAGCGAGGCAGAGGGAGACAGAGGGAGGCAGAGGGAGGCAGAGGGAGACAGAGGGAGGCAGAGGGAGGCAGAGGGAGGCAGAGGGAGGCAGAGGGAGACAGAGGGAGGTAGAGGGAGGCAGAGGGAGGTAGAGGGAGGCAGAGGGAGACAGAGGGAGACAGAGGGAGGCAGAGGGAGGCAGAGGGAGGCAGAGGGAGACAGAGGGAGGCAGAGGGAGGCAGAGGGAGACAGAGGGAGACAGAGGGAGGTAGAGGGAGGCAGAGGGAGACAGAGGGAGACAGAGGGAGGCAGAGGGAGGTAGAGGGAGACAGAGGGAGACAGAGGGAGGCAGAGGGAGACAGAGGGAGGCAGAGGGAGGTACCCACTAAGCAAGCCGACGTTGAATCAACGTAATTTGAACGTCGTTGTCCGACGTAGAATATAGGTCACTGGTGGGTGCAGAATGAAAGTTTTCTCGACGTCGTTTCCCGACGTCACCTCAACCTCCAAATGTTACGTTGATGGCACGTCAATTCAAGGTTTGAATGTGGTACAGAACCGGTCGGGTCTGACGTCCTCTCGACGTCTTATATGACCAAAATATTGACGTTTATATGACGTTCGTTTTCAGTTGTTCCCACTAAGCAAGCAGATGTCAAAACTATGTCATTTCAACGTCATCTGGACGTTCATTCAAGGTTTGAATGTGGTACGGAACCGGTCGGGTCTGACGTCCTATCAACGTCTTATATGACCAAAATATTGCCTTCATATGACGTTCGTTTTCCGTTGTTCCCACTAAGCAAGCAGATGTCAAAACTATGTCATTTCAACGTCATCTGGACGTTATCTGGACGTTCATTCAAGGTTGCAATGTGGTACAGAACCGGTCGGGTCCGACGTCCTCTCGACGTCTTATATGACCAAAATATTGACGTTTATATGACGTCCATTTACAGTCCTATTGACCTACTTAACCTCTGCAGAATCACTCACTGGTCGAGACATACTTTTTGCAATAGGCAAGGCAAGTTTATTTGTATAGCACAGTCAAAACAAAAGGAAACTCAAAGCACTGAACAAAAGATAGAAACAATCAAACAAGGCATTACAATTATAAATATTGACAGTAAATTAAAAAGATACAAATAAAATCTCTCATAAAATCTCTCAGTTGAAGCAGAAACAGAAGTGTTTTAAACCTGGATTTTAACATTGTCAAAGAAGAAGCCTGTCTCACATTTCCAGGAAGACCGTTCCAGATTTTAGCCTTGTGAATCTGAAATGCAGCTTTATCATGTTTAGTTCTGACTCTGGGCAATAAACGATAAACACAGCATTCAAAAATCATTAGAACAACTGTAGTAGAAGGATATCAGTCATTATTGCAAATGGAGCTGCATTAAAAATCATGTTTCTCTACATCAAGGTACAAGTTAAAGCACACAGGGCACAGTGTTATGAACACTACTGTACTGAACACTACTGTACTGAACAGTTCATGCCAAAGTAAAAAAACATGATTGTAGCGCCTATGTTTGGATCAGTATTAAAACAGGCACAAGCTACACTCTAGGTTCCCCAGATGTAAAAACACAATCTGAAAGGCAGAAGAATGCATTTATTGAATGTTGAGGTTCCAACATGTGTCCTCTCTTGGTCTTCAGTCTCTCATCACAAGGTCCAAGCACAGCACCTGAAAATGTGGAACATGTTTAGTTTCAACATAATGTGGCAAAGTGATATAACAACACATAACTTTCTATTAATGCCTCAAACCACTCGATCCATCACCATGTGATACAAACCTTGGCACTGCACTAGCTCGAGACACTGGAAGACACTCAGTCTGAGAAACTTGGGATAAGGCTTTGGTCATTGGAGTAATTCCATGTAAAAAACAATTGCAAATGTGCATTTGTTTTGCACATGGACAAATGAGCCCTGAAAGCTACTTACCCTGTATTACTCTACACATGTTGCATTTCCGAGGGGGCATTTTCCCCTTGTTGCTCTTTTCCCTCATCTTGAGTGAGTTGCTGAACAATCTGAGAAAAAGATAGATGTTTTCAAAGAAAATACACCAAATAATGGTTTATTCTAAAAACAACATAATAATACAGAAGAACAATCAATGTGTGAGAGTGTGATTCTTACCTTTGAACACCTTCAACACAGTCTGACACCTGTAAGACTCAAACACACATGACACATTAGGAATACACACAGAACATTAGTTATTGCAACAATCATGAAATTATACTCTATGGATTTCACAATAATTGACTGCATTAGCAAAGGTAAATGTATTTTAATTAACATATGGCTGGTTTTAAAGTTTATAAGACAAAATAAGAAATTGAATAGAGTTGCAAGCGCTAGTTAGCTTGCTACCATCAGATGAATGGATATTTAATATTTGCAGCTAACAATAACAAAAATAACAACTGTAGTGGCTCATTTAAACAGCCACAGTGAGAAGAAGTGAAAGTCTCTGACATTGAAGACCTGGGAAGACATTCAATCCATTTATTAAACAAAGCAATACACGAACATTAAACTCTCTTTCTGCAGCAGGTAACATCTGTGTGCTCCTATGGTCCCACATGGTCCCACATGGTCCCACACCTGAACTCAACTCCAACTGATGACATCACAGGTGTCTAAATGATGGGAGTGTCCCAAATATTAAAGCTGATCTCCCTGTTTTTAAACTTAGTTTACTAAGTACTGTTGTCTTTTTGCAGTTTATAAACCATTGTGAAATATACAGTAACTTTACATTTTAGAATTGAATTATTATTTTAAAACTCAAGAATCTTAACCTTTTTTAACACATAGTTTGTTGGACAGTCTAACCTAAGAATTCTAATGTGTTTAAAATAGTTTGAAATATGAAAAACAATATCATATTTTAAACTTTAACTTAAAAACTAAAAAAAGGTGTCTCCCTTTCAGCTGAGCAGTGCCAGCCGTTATTATTATAGATTCATGCACTGGCAATTCAAAATACAGATAATATACAAAATATACTTAACAAAATCCACGTATACGTGAGAAAACAACTGAGTTTCTGTCTCCAACTCTTTTCAATGTGGAAATGATACATCTATATCTAAAAACTGTGCAGACTGTGTACTTACTAGAGAGGGTGATTCCAAGTAAATAAAGCAGGGCAGCGACAGAGGTACAGATTCAACGTCATATCAACGTCTGGGAAGACATTGCTTTACGTCCAGATGCACACCTTACGTTGTTTAGACGTGGAAAACAGGTCCTTGAGCGACTCACGTGTCAGGCTGTAAAGCCTAAATTATACTCGCGCGGCGCATAAGTGTGCGTCGGTTGTTTAGGGTGTTATGTATTATGTTTTCACAGTGGTCAGAAACTTGCCTGGCGGTGGTGTAGCGGTTGCGTAATGAGACTTCAGTCGCGACGACATGGGTTCAAATCCCCGTCGGAAAACTTTTGACTTTTCACTTTTTAGCGAACAATTTTTCTGTTTGGTTAAAAACAAATAAACACTCAGCATAAGATTATGTTGTGGCTAATAATAAAACTTGTGAACCCATGCATTTGCATAAAATCTCAAGTGCTCACCCCTTATTTGCAAACTTGAGATTGTTAGCACAACAAATGCATACATTCACAAGTTTTATTATTAGCCACTATGTAATCCTATGTTGAGTGTTTATTAGTCTTTAACCAAACAGAAAAAAATTGTTCGTTAAAAATCAAAACTAATATGTAAAGATAATAATACACACACGTGGGCTCGAACTCACGTAACCAAGGCTGCACACACTTGCTTAACCACTACACTACCGTCAGGTACACTTATATTGCTTCACAGCCTATATATTCTATTGCTAGATCAAGACGTACTGCGTCGGTCGGCCGATGACCTGTTTTCGACGTCTAGGGGAGGTCGGGATTGAACGTCATATCCACGTCTATGGGAGGTCATTGTTTTACGTCCAGATGCGCACCTTGCACAGACGTCGTTTGGACGTAAATAAAAGGTCACGACCGACCGACGCGATTTTGACGTGATCTGGAGGTTGAGTGGACGTTGGATGTTTAGTGGGTAGAGGGAGACAGAGGGAGACAGAGGGAGGCAGAGGGAGACAGAGGGAGGTAGAGGGAGGCAGAGGGAGGCAGAGGAAGACAGAGGGAGGCAGAGGGAGGTAGAGGGAGGCAGAGGGAGACAGAGGGAGACAGGTGGAGACAGAGGGAGGTAGAGGGAGACAGGTGGAGACAGAGGGAGACAGAGGGAGACAGAGGGAGGTAGAGGGAGGCAGAGGGAGACAGAGGGAGACAGAGGGAGACAGAGGGAGGCAGAGGGAGGCAGAGGGAGGCAGAGGGAGACAGAGGGAGACAGAGGGAGGCAGAGGGAGGTAGAGGGAGACAGAGGGAGGCAGAGGGAGACAGAGGGAGACAGAGGGAGGTAGAGGGAGGCAGAGGGAGACAGAGGGAGGTAGAGGGAGGCAGAGGGAGACAGAGGGAGGTAGAGGGAGGCATAGGGAGACAGAGGGAGGCAGAGGGAGGTAGAGGGAGACAGAGGGAGATAGAGGGAGACAGAGGGAGGCAGAGGGAGGCAGAGGGAGGTAGAGGGAGACAGAGGGAGGTAGAGGGAGGCAGAGGGAGGTAGAAGGAGGCAGAGGGAGGTAGAGGGAGGCAGAGGGAGGTAGAAGGAGGCAGAGGGAGGCACAGGCCCAGGCATGTGTTCTGCTGCTGCTGCTTCTGTCACTTTTTTTCCCGCAGTGCTACAGGTGTAACACCGAGATACACTTCCTTGAAGAGATGCACTTCCCCAGCTGTTTATGATGTAATGCAAAACTGCGCATGCGCGTCTCACGGCAACCGAAGCATACCAAGATGGCGGACCGTGAATTGCTTTAAAAGTTGAAATACGAACGAATTAAGACACGAATGTCACTTTTAATGCAATTTGAGGCGAGATGTTGATGGTTCCGTTTTGTCACATGTGGGTTTTAAGAGTCAAAGTTTCGTGCAAAGTTTAGTTTAAGCAGCCAACTGCGCCTGTGAAACCACAAAGCTAATGTTTTCATAGCAGTCCGCGGCTGCTGACGTAGGCTGATGACGCGTCCTGTGGCAACTCTACAGCTTACAACTGGTCTGTCGGGTTGATAATGGAAATAATACATTTCATTCAATACATGTATCGTACTGTATTTAATATGATTAACAATAGTGTGTTCAAACAAAATATTTAATTAGATTGATTTTTTTCCCCATTTTCCATTATCAACCCGACAGACCAGTGTAGAGTGGCCACAGGACGCGTCATCAGCCTACGTCAGCAGCCGCGGACTGCTATGAAAACATTAGCTTTGTGGTTTCACAGGCGCAGTTGACTGCTTAAACTAAACTTTGCACGAAACTTTGACTCTTAAAACCCACATGTGACAAAACGGAACCATCAACATCTCGCCTCAAATTGCATTAAAAGTGACATTCGTGTCTTAATTCGTTCGTATTTCAACTTTTAAAGCAATTCACGGTCCGCCATCTTGGTATGCTTCGGTTGCCGTGAGACGCGCATGCGCAGGTTTGCATTACATCATAAACAGCTGGGGAAGTGCATCTATTCAAGGAAGTGTATCTCGGCGTTACACCGGCGGCAGGCGAAGGGTTACAGAGACTGGGACGGACTGTTCCCGGAGCCTGATGTAGCATTTATGTGGAATGTGCAGCAGAGGATCAAAACAACATGAGATCAGCACCTTCTCTCTCTGAGGCTCTATCTCTGTCCCAGAGAGAGACCGTGAAAGGAGAGAGAGACCAGTGAGAGAGACTAGAGACAGACCAAAGAAAGACTAATGAGAGAGACTAGAGGGCGAGGAGAGAGAGACCAGAGAGAGAGACCAGAGAAAGAGACTATGAAAGGAGAGAGAGAGACTAGAGGGAGAGGAGAGAGGGACCAGAAAGCCAGAATAGTGAGAGAGAAGAGAGAGACCAGAGAGAAGAGACTAGAGACAGACCAGTGAGAGAGACTAGAGGGCGAAGAGAGAGAGACCAGAGAGAGAGACACCAGAGAGAGACTATGAAGGAGAGAGAGAGACCAGTGAGAGACTAGAGGGAGACCAGAGAGAGACCAGAGAGAAAGCCTAGAGAGAGACACCAGAGAGAGAGAGAGAGACCAGAGCGAGACTAGAGAGAGACACTAGAGAAAGAAACAAGAGAGAGAGACCAGAGAGAGACCTGAGGGCGACCAGAGAGAGACACTAGAGAAAGACACAGAGAGAGAGATACCAGAGAGAGAGACTTGAGAGAGAGACTTGAGAGAGAGACCAGAGAGAGAGACTTGAGAGAGAGACCAGAGAGAGACTAGAGAAAGACACCTGAGAGAGAGAGACCAGAGAGAGAAACTTGAGAGAGAAACCAGAGAGAGACTAGAGAGACACCAGAGAGGGAGACCAGAAAGAAAAATAAAACATCTCTTTGTCTAAATCACCTCAATCTGAGTGGATACAATTGTCTTTATTCTCATTGTTACTGACACAGATCAAAGGCTCTGACTCCCTCTGGACCCGGACTGTTCCAGAACACCATGTCCTGACACCATGTCACAAACACAACTCTTTGTTCATTGTTTTAGGTCTCTCTCTCTCGCTCTCTCTCTCTCTCTCTCTCTCTCTCTCTCTCTCTCTCTCTCTCTCTCTGCAGTCACTCAAAAACAAAGACCTCATTTTGTTAGAAAGCCTCTCAGCGACGTGTGTGAATAGGTCTGTTATGTAAGGACCAGCAGAGGACCAGCAGAGGACCAGCAGAGGACCAGCAGAGGACCAGCAGAGGACCAGCAGAGGACCAGCAGAGGACCAGCAGAGGACCAGAAGAGGCCTATGGGCACAGATCCACAAACAGGGGATTTACAAAAACATAAACATTTAATGATGATAAATGTGTTTCTTTGATGACTTTTCTCACAAGAGTCGGGACACGCCGGAGTGGATTTGCATTTTTCACCAGAGGGAGAGACGAGAGAGAGAGATAAGAGAGAGAGAGAGACCAGAGAGAGAGAGAGACAAGAGAGAGAGACCAGAAAGAGAGAGACCAGAGAGAGAGAGACAAGAGAGAGAGACCAGAGAGAGAGAGACAAGAGAGAGAGAGACCAGAGAGAGAGACCAGAAAGAGAGACCCAAGAGAGAAAGAGACCAGAGAGAGAGAGATAAGAGAGACAGAGACCAGAGAGAGAGAGACAAGAGAGAAAGAGACCAGAGAGAGAGAGATAAGAGAGACAGAGACCAGAGAGAGAGAGACAAGAGAGAGAGACCAGAGAGAGAGAGACCAGAGAGAGAGAGATAAGAGAGAGAGAGACCAGAGAGAAAGAGACCAGAGAGAGAGAGATAAGAGAGAGAAACCAGAGAGAGAGAGACAAGAGAGAGAGACTAGGGAGAGAGAGACCAGAAAGAGAGAGAGAGAGACGAGAGAGAGATACCAGAGAGAGAGACCAAAGAGAGAGAGAGCAGATAGAGAGAGACCAGAGAGAGAGAGTGACAGACAAGAGAGAGAGATACCATAGAGAAAGAGAGACAATAGAGAGATACCAGAACGAGAGAGACGCCAGATAAAAAGACTAGAGAGAGACCGGAGAAAGACTAGAGAGAGAGAGACAAGAGAGAGAGATCAGAGAGAGACCAAAGAGAGAGAGACCAGAGAGAGAGACCAGAGAGAGAGAGACCAGCGATTGACCAGAGAGAGACCAGAGAGGGACCAGAGAGAGGCCTGAGAGAGACCAGAGAGAGAGACCAGCGATTGACCAGAGAGAGACCAGAGAGGGACCAGAGAGAGATCAGAGCGAGATCAGAGAAAGAGAGGCCAGAGAGAAAGAGAGACAAGAGCGAGAGATACCAGAGAGACAGAGAGAGAGAGACCAGAGAGACAGAGCGAGAGATACCAGAGAGACAGAGAGAGAGAGACCAGAGAGACAGAGAGACCAGAGAGAGAGACAAGAGAGAGACCTGGGAGAGAAATAGAGAGACCAAAGAAAAAGACTGGAGAGAGACCAGAGAGAAATGAAAAATATATACAGTTTGTTGTGAGTATTTTTGGTCAAGAGCAACATTTTCTCCTTTGTCAAGATGGGTTTCCTCCAGGCGCTCCGGTCTCCCCCACCAATCTCACCAAGCATCAACCTTTGTGTGGGCGGCATGGTGGCTGAGTGGGTAGAATTCTCGCTCTTCAGCAAGAAGGTTTTAGGTTCGAATCCCGGTCGGAACAGGGTTAGTGGAGTTGTATGCAAATGTACACCCAAGGTACAAACGGGAGTGATGTGTTCATTAATTTAACATGTACTGTCCCAACCAAATAAACAATAAATAAATACAAATTTGCAGAGCTGTATTGAAAAAATGTTCATGCAGCAGCCCTCCTCCTCCCCATCACCACCTCTTCATGTTTTCGGCTCAGATTCTTTCACCTCCAGGGTTTAGACTTTAGGTGTTCCCACTCTCATAAACTCTATTCAGCTCTGCAGACGTGTGATACTTCTGCCATAGTCTAATCAGTAACTCTTTAAGTTCAACTCTTCATGTTCAAATGTATTGGATGTATTTGTACCTCATGTAGCGTCTGCTAATGTCTGACCATGAAACTTCTGTTCATTAAAAATTCTTATAATGCATCGTTTTGTACAGCGCTTTTCTGGACACTCAAACTACCAGAGTAAACTACTACTGTAGCCACAGCTGCCCTGGGGCACACTGACAGAAGCGAGGCAACCAGTCTGTGCCATCGGCCCCTCCCACCACCAACCATTCACACACACCAGACTCATTCTAATGCAGTTGACCTGTCTTGCCTAAGGACACAACGGCAGTTTTGCACTTTACAGCCGCAGCCGCCCCACTGTGGCACCTGCTGTTCCCAGAGGTTAAGTGTCTTGCCCAAGGGCACAACGACAGCAGACGTCAGTGTGGAGGCCTCAAACCCATGACCTTCAGGCTCAAAGACTAATGCTCCACCAACTGAGCCACTGTCGCCTCCAGAATTAATATAAATTAATATATGCAGTAAATATCATTCTAATGTAATCTTTGTCTTGAGTCTTTCCAGATTGAAAAGACCGACTCCTGCTCTGTGCATCAGGGCCCAGAGCCACCGGTGTAAAGCTGAAAACAACTAGCATGCCCTGCACCTGTTTCTTTATGCCAGAACTAAATGTAGATCTCCAAATATGTAAACAGGCAGCCTCTCCACCTTAAGTGTCAGCACATGTTATGTAAGGAGATGACTCAGCCTGTATATGTCTGGGCAAAGCTTTAAGGTGGACTTAATAAACCTCTGGTGATGTCACACTGTCTTAATGAGACTAAAGAAACTGGGCCAAAGGAGGATTGGGCTAAGGTTAGACTTTGGTTGTTGCTTGTGAGAATAAAGGTAACCATACTGCAACAACGTTCACCAGAAGGCAACTGTCAGACTGTACACTGAACACTCTCTGCTTCATCGTTTCATAACATTATAGATTTTGTGTGTGTTTGTGTACAGTATATTCTGCCATTTCACTGAATTCACAAAGAACCAATGTTAGCTGCTAACTGCTACATGACTCGGTGATGGGGCCGGTAGAATAATTATAGTCTACTGTACATTTAACTTCAGAACCCTCTGGAAACAGCGGCAAACACTGAGTCGCTCTGAAACTATTGTTTTGTGTTTCATAATTGTCATTTTTCTCGTAATATCCATCTGTAAATA